ACAACAACAGGCCATGTCCGCCGCCGCCGCCTCCGCCGCCGCTGCCGGGGGCTCGGGCTCCCCCGCTAGACCCCCAGCTTCAGGGAACCGGCGCCATTCGCGTCTCCCAGGGATCCTGCTCGAAAGGCTCCCGCGCTCCCCAGGAAGCACTACCATTGGCCGAGCCGGCTCCCAACCCCAGCTCCTATTGGTCCCTCGCCTTACGTAACTTTACGTGAGCGTCTGCCCGCCCCCGCTCGGCGCTGATTGGAAGGGAGTTGGGTTGTGGGGGCGGAAACAAACAAACAACACACAAAACTACCGCCTCTGCTTGATTGGTGGAGGGCGTGCCTGTGGGCGGGGCCCTGTGCGCTTGGAAATACTGAACGTTGATTGGCCGGGGGCCTTCGTTTTAAAATTTAAAGAGGCGGCGCGAGGGCGGTGTCTGTCAATTTCCGGGCCCGCGAAGGATATGGTGCGTAGGGCCGCGGTGGGCGGATAGGAGATGTTTACCAAGTCCCCAGGGAAACTGCACGGGGAGGGAATGTGGGAGGGTTTGAGTGCAACTGGGTGGAAGCCACCCTAGAGTGTCTATGGAGTAGAATCAGAGGCGAGGACTTTGTGTGTTATTTAAGTAAAGTTATTAAAATATAAAAGTTCACTCCCTGTGCCCAAGTTAACGCATAGGAGTTTCTTTCAAGGAGGTAGCCCATGGATGATACTCTGCTTTTATATCGATGGTTTTCTCTCTTCCCCTCTCTCCCTTCATCTCTCTCTCTCTAAAAATCTATTTTTTAAATACTTTTTTAAAATTGATTTTCAGAGAGAGGAAAGGAGAGATAGAAACTTCAATGATGAGTCATGGATTGGCTGCCTCCTGCACGCCCCCTACTAGGGATCGAGCCCAAAACCTGGGCATGTGCCCTGACTGGGAATCGAACCGTGACCTCCTGGTTCATGGGTTGAAGCTCAACCACTGAGTTACACCGGCCAGGCTGGTTTTTTTGTATTTTGTTTGTTTTAATCCCCATTTTTACAGCTTAGAAAGGTTAAGTCAGTTGCTGCACATCCCTCTGCTTACCGAGGGGCAGGGCTTGCTTGGTTCAGAGTCAGGGACTGAATGCAGGTAAAAAGCTGGGTGGTGCTCGCCTCCTTCCTGCCCTGTCATGTCTCGGACCCTGCTAGCCTGAGGCCTAGGAGCCTACTCTCCTGTCCCCACCCCACTTGACTCCCACCAGCAGTGCTCCCCAGACATATAGTGTCTGAAGGCCGGCCAGAGCAATCCCAGAGCCTGGGGAACTGCCCTCCCTTTTCTGTCTGGGGGAGCCATGCTGTGGCTGAAGCCAGTGAGGCATGGCCCAGGCCTGCCTTATCAGGGCTGTACAGAGCCCAGAAACCCCTCACCTCGGTCCTGCGGAAATGGTCTGGAACACTGGGTCCATTCACTAATGTGGGCACCCAAGGGTGAAAGGAAGGTCCCCCAGGGAGGCAGCCCAGGCTCCTTGAGGAAGCCCATCAGGAGCTGGAACTAAGGCAGATGAGGGCCCCAGCCACTGACGGGGGCTGTTACTCCTGATAAGATCAAACTCTTTCTCTGAAGCTGCAAAGAACCTGATTCTGCTGTATGGACTGTACGTTTGAAGTTTTTCATAATAAAAAGTGTTTCTTTTAAGATCAAGAATATTTGGCTCACCCCCAAATCTTTGCAGAGCCCCGTGAGAGACAGACAGAGCTCTCTGATGTCTCCTCTTATAGGGACACTAATAGTACTGGATCAGGGAGCCACCCTTATTACCTCACTTAACTTTAATTACTTCCTTACTCCAAATACAGCTACAGAGAGAGTTAAGGCTTCAATATATGAATTTGGGGCTGAAGAGGGACACAATTCAGTCCATAGCAGCCCCTCTGACCAGGAGGCCTAGTATGAGCTGTAGGGTCAAACAGACCCAGCTCCAAGTTCAAAGCCCAGCTCTGCTACTTAACCAAGTGTGAAGGAGAACCCATCTCCCTGACTCTCAGTTCCTCCCTATGCCGAAAAATACGAAATGTAAGTTCCATTTCAGAGGGTGGTTGTCACGATGACGTTGGGAAAGGTACAGAAACTAGCTAGCATGGTACCTGGCATATCTCAGAGGCTCCATATATGGTTTCCCAGATGATGCCGCCCCGAATGTGGTCCTCGGGCCAGCAGCATGGGCACAGCCTGAAATCGTGATAAATGCAGAACATCAGGCCCCACCCCACACCTGCCAAATCGGAATCGGAATCTCACACGCTCAAGTCTCAGAATTACTGCAGTAAATGGCAGGACGTGGCCCAGCTTGGCCACCAGGCATCGTGGGAAGGCAGTGGTGTAATTCAGGGGGGCAGTGGGGAGGGAGCCAGGACCAGGAAGCACTGTGATTTCACGTGGTCACCTTCACTGTGATCTTCCTCTGTCAGCTGGGGGAGGGTGTCCTGCTGTGGGAAGGGGGGTCCTTATTTGCTGGTCCCTGCCCCCTGCCTTCCCCTTCCCTCCCACCCCACTCACCCTCCTCTCTCTACCCCCCTCAGGTGGGTGGGTGGTTGGGAACAGGGCTGGCTGCTCTCCCCAGCGATCGTCTCAATTGGCTGCCTCCCCTCCCTCGCAGATCTCCCTTATCTAGGGCCATCGATCTCTGTTGCCACACCCCCCCACCCCCAAGGTCACCTCCAGAGGGTTGGTTCCAGTGCTTGCTCACTGCACAGGCCCCCTTCTGCCTTGCCTGGGCATGGGGGCAGGTTTTAAAGAACCAGGTCCTTGCCTGGCTACCAGGCCACTTTCCACGCCAGGGGGTGGGGGGGGAACCAAGTCAGAGGGAAATGGGGAGAGGGAAGGACCACGGGCTTCGGGCCAGAAGAGGAGGGTTTCGTCCCAGGCTCATTCGAGAACCTTGGCCTAGTCACGTCGTCTTTCCAGGCTTCAGTTTCCTCAACCGGAAAGGGCATGACCGGACCAGATACTCTCTAAGATCATCCTTTCCTTCTAGGAGCGTGTGACTACATATGTACCCTGCACTGCAGTGTTGGGTTTGTGACAGGCATATACGTAAATATTAAAAACACTGGCAACCCTGTCCCCAGCCAGGAAGGGATCCCAGCGACAGTTCGGCCAAGAGTGGGGAGAGGAGATCAAGATGAAACCAATACCTGGGGAGACAGGAGGAGGGCAGAGGCGGGAGCAGGAGGGGGGAGGGATCCCCGGGTTCGGTTTTGACAGGGCACAGAACAATGGAGCTTTTGAAAATGGGGCGAGTTGGTTAGAGTGTTTGTCCCAAAAAAAACCAAGGTTGTGGGTTCAATCTCCGGTCAGGGCACATACAAGAATCAACCAGTGAAAGCATGAACAAGTGTAACTACACCCTGGCCCGTTTCGCTCAGTGGTTAGAGCATCAGCTCTCAGACTGGAGGGTCCCAGGTTCGATTCCGGCCAAGGGCACGTACCTCGGTCGGGGGCTCATGCAGGAGGCAACCAATCGATGTCTCTCTCGCATCGAGGTTTCTCTCTCTCTCTCTCCCCCTCCCATTCTCTCTGAAAAACTCAGTTGGGGGCGGACTGTAACATCCCCCACTGTCGGTAGCAAACTCAGAAGAAGCCAGTGACAAGTTACGGTGACCGCCCTGAAAGATGTGAGCAGGGTGCTGTGAGGGCAATGAGCTTCCTTTGGGTGGTGCTCAGGGAAGGCCTCTCTGAGGACAGCCATGAGGACAGGTGAGTCAAAGTGGCCACTGGGTGTTGCCTGGGACCTGTCAGAGAGGCAGACCGGGGGCCCCTCTCCAGGCCTGCAGAAGCTGAATTTGCAGTTTAACAAGATCCCCGGGGCACCCATGCACAGTGAAGTCCAAGGTGCTCCTGGCTATCAGGGGGAGGGCAGACGTGTGAGAGGGGGGAGCAAATGGCACAGCTAATCCCCCAGGCTCAGGTGTGCTCCTTGCATCCTAGAAGTTTCTACTAGGACCTGGCTACCGGGCCAGAGAGACCCACTGCCCTGTGGCCCACAGCAGGCCCGTGTCACAGCTCTGTGCTGGGGACAGCTTCGGTTCAGTGGTTACCACCCAGAGGGAAGCACCCAAAACCGGAGCTCTGCCGGGCTGGGCTGGACACGTGTCCTCTGACAGGTTGGGACAATACACTTGGGCCTCTGTTTGTGTGCATACAGCTCCAGGTGGGGAGGGAGGGAGGCCAGGTACAGAGCAGCCGGTTCTGGGCACCCTGAAAACCCCCGGGGAGGCTGGACCCTCAAGGCTGCTTGGTCCCCTGG